ACGGCGGAGCAGAAGACCACCAGAGCCAGACAGCAGACCCCCACGGTGGAGCAGAGGACCACCACGGCAGAGCAGACGAAGTAGAAGACCACCACGGCGGGCCAGAGTGATCAGGAACCCATGGCAGGAACTGGAGTCTAGGGAAAACTGAAACACAGGAGACAGACAGTGCATTTACGGTCTCAAGGGCCGGAACAGGACATGCAGATAGTTCTTTAACAGTCTCCTTGAGCCTGATAGACAGGACAGGAACTGGATTGGCAGTGACAGGCTTAACAGGGCAGACATGGTGTGCGTTCTTAGTTTCTGGGCTCATGACAGGCAGGGTTAAGAGTACAGAGGTGGGTTCTTGGGCTGTGACAGACAGGGCTGAAAGTTCCGTGTTGGTCTCCTTGAGAGTGGCTGGACAGACAGACCGTTCAAGATTGGGTGCATTAACAAAGACTGGTTGGGTTGACAGTAAATAAACAGGATCACTGACTGAAACTGGATGGGCAGACAGTTCAAAAACAGGCTCACTGACTGAAGCTAGACAGGAAGACAGTTCACAAAAAGACTCATGGGTAGATATGGGATAGACTGACAGTTCAAAAGTGGGTGTGTTAACTGAAACTGGACTGGTAGATATTTCAGTGACTGAAACTGGACCAACAGATGGTGTATCAGACATATTATTTGAAATTAGTGGACAGAGAGATAATTCAGAAACAAATTCATTAGCAGCCCTTAGACGAACATACAGTTCACAATCAGCCTCCATGGCTGATTCAGAACAGGACGAGAGTTCAGAGATGGCCTCCTCAGCCAGTTCTGAGTAGGACAAAAGTTCAAAAGCCGCTTCCGTAGCCGTGACGGGACAGGCAAAGACTTCACAGACAGCCTCCATAGCCGTGACAGGGCATGACGAGGATTCACAGACGGCCTCCATAGCCATGACAGGGCAGGACGAGGATTCACAGACGGCCTCCATAGCCGTGACAGGACAAACAGGAAGTTCACAGGTGGATACTACTGACACCTCTGGAGGTTCTGCAGCGGATGCCACCACCTCTGGAGGTTCTACAGCAGTACCTTCAGGAAATAGAGAAAGTTCATTAATATTCACTTTAACAGGACAGGTACAGCGTTCATCAACGGTTCCTTCGACCACGACATGACAGGCTGAGAGTGCATTGCTGGGCGCCACCACCGTACAAGGAGCTGAAGCGAGCGCCGCCGCCTCGGGAGGTTCTGCAGCACACGCCGCCACCTCTGGAGAAGCTGCAGCGGGCACCATTGCCTCTGGGGAAACAGCAATGAACTCCACTACCTTGGGAGGTTCTGCAGCATCAGCCGCCACCTCTGGAAACATCATAGTAGGCGCCGCTGTTTCAAGAGTCTCAGTGGTGGTGTATGCAACCCAAACACTCCATAAAGCGATCCCCATTATGGGAAGCGCTACAGACAGGGGAATCGGATCAGGAACAGGAGGGCTAGAGTGAATGGATTTGAGGATACAAGCTGCGACTGCTGACACCAGCGGTGAATTCTCCACGCTGGATGCCAGTCTGGGATACAGAAGACCTGACCTCGAAGATCTGAGTGCAACAAACGGGAAGTGATGAGACTCTGGACGATCAGCTGTGACGTGACGAGGCTCTGGATGATCAGCTGTGATGTGACGAGACTCTGGAAGATCAGCTGTGACGTGGCGTGACTGGACGAATAGCTGTGACGTGACGTGACTCTGGACGAACAGCTGTGACGTGACGTGACTCTGGACGAAGCTTAGACCTCAGCGGTTGATTAATGCCATCGCAAAAAAACTCTATCAATAAACAGTCCGGTAAATCAGAGTAATAGGCAATGGCTAGATACTCTTGAATATAGTTCTCCAGCGAACACGGGCCTTGTTTAAGAGTTAATAATAATATATGTGCTGTGTCCATACCTGGCCAATGTTCCTCTGAAAAGCTGCTGGATCCTTGTGTGGCCGAGTATTCTGTGATGGGGGCGATGAGACAAGAGGCATGCGGATCCATATGCAAGGCTTTATTAAGAGACGTGGTCATAACAGGCATGGGTCAGACAATGGCAAACAGGTATATTGAGGGCAAGACAGAAGAGTAATCCAAAACGGGCGTGGTCGATCAGCGGCTAACAATATCCAGAGGGCTTGACAAGAGTGGTAATCCGACAACATGAGCAATAGTCCAGGCAAGATGCAAACATAGTCCGAATGGCAAGACGAAAGGATAATACAAAATACACAGGCAAGAATCTGAACACGGGAAAGCAGGCAGGGCAAGACTATGACTTGGAACTAAGAACTAAAAATGGCTTCGTAGAGGAGCTATCGCTATGAGTGATAAACGCTATACAATACTCGGTGTTGAATGGTGGTGTGAACTGATTTATATAGTGTGTGTTATTGGTAGCAGCTATGTGAGATTGGTTTCAGGTGAGCTTGTGATTAGTGCAGTGGAGCATGGGAAATGTAGTCCAGGGTGATGTGTAACAGTCTGTGTGGTGTGATAGTCAATATAATGGGAGGGCGACCTCTGGTGGTAAGCAGACGGAAGTTCATGGACAGGATTCGTGACAATATTAATACCAAGAAGCACAATGAAAAAATAAATAAATGAAAAGCTAGATCTAAGATGACCTTTGGAATTTGCCATTCCATAAAAATCACATGACCGTTTTATGTCTGGAATTCGTCAAAGGTTATGTCATTTTATTTCAATCGACATCTTTCATGTAAAAAATCAACGTTTTATGCATTCTTCAGTGACATCATAATATAATGTATTTTCTCTTGCTCTCTGGCACTTAGTGTTCGAACGGCTAGGGAAATTAGCAGGCGCTCCGGTCATCCTGCACGCTCTGGTTGTCATCCTGTTGGCTCTGGCTCTTTTGGGGTCTGCAGGCAGTATTCTGGTCACACTGTACAACAGCTTCAGTAACCCATATCAGACCTACATGGGACCAATAGGACTGTACACATGCAGTGGACTCAGTGGTGAGCAAACACACACACTCTCACTTATGCCAACAAACTAAAATATTTAAATCTCAAACACTCTTTTGCTTGCATTTGACCTCTTCATTTTAACTCTTCGTTTAATTCTTTTTAATTGTCTAAAACGTTGATTATAAAGGGGGTTTGATTATAGACTTTTGATTATATTAGGTTTAAATGATTATAAAAGTGGTCCCAAGACCTTAACTTAGGGTTGTTGTAACATTTACTGTTACTCTGCTAAATTTCATGTGCAAAATCCAGTCATTCCAATAAGAATCCACAAGATCGTATGGATCATATGGTAATTCCAACTTTCTGTCTCACAATTTAAACTGAATTCAGTGTTGCGAGATAAAAAAAAACACAATTCTGACTTTATATCTACAATTCTATAAGCTAAAAACTTTCTTAGAATTGCGAGATATTAGCTAAGAACTGCCAGACATAAACTCTTCTGAAAAAAGTCATACAGTAATTATCATTGAGTTTATATATCACAATTATGATATTATTATATTACAATTCTGAGAAAAAAAATAAACTTTTTTTTCAGAAATGCAAGATATAAACTGATAATACATACTTTTTTCTCAGAATTGCAACTTTCTGTCTCCCATTTCAGACATTTTTCTCACAATTCTGAGAAAACAAAAAAACAAACAAACATTTTTCTTCAGATTTACGATAAACAAGTCAGAACTGAGATATAAACTCAGAATTGTAAGATATAAAGTCAGAATTCTGACTTTTTTCTTTCTTTTTTTATACTTTGTCTTTCAGTTCAAGTGCATTTAATACAGTCATACAAATGAACATTTCCTTTCAAGACATCATATTTTTACCAATAGTTATTCCTCATTTTTCCTTCTACTTTCTCTTCCTTCACTTTTTTTTCCTTTTGTGATAATACCCATCACCAACGCATAAAAAATAAGTAAGTAAATAAGTAAAAAAAAAAATAATAATAATTAGAACAATAATCAATGCATACAAAAACACTTTTTCATATAAAAAATAGAGAGAGAGAAAAACACCCACATATTCATATTAAACTCTTATAATGACACCTAATTCCTAATAAGTAATTCAAATAATATTATTTAAAACTAATTAATAATAATATTAAATTAATAAAAATAATCAATGAAAATAAAGTTCAAAGCGAGGCAGAATTATATAAGAAGGTAATGAGTATATGTATTCCTTTATTTTATAATATATACTTAGATTTTTAAGGTGCCCATATCTTTTCAAAATATATACTTTTCCTTTTAATTTTATATGTTATCCTCACCATAGAGTGTACTTTAGAAAGTAAATCTAACCAATCATTTAAAACTGGGGATTCTTGCCTTCTCCAAAATTTTGTATAAAAATATATAGTATAAAAATTTATAAAAGTATAAAAATGTTTTATTTTAATTCAAAGTTTATATCTCAAAATTCTGACTTTATATTGTATCTTACATTTCTGAGGGAAAAAAAAAAAAAAAAAAACCGTGGCAGAAACAGACTTCAATATGATTGTGAGTTTTACATGATGAAAACGTTCCCCACGCAGATTTCGCTCAAGTTCAAGTTGGTCACCCAAATTCAGTGCATCATACATCTACTCTATTGACAATAGGCAGTTAACTTTGCTAATGTGTCTTATTTCTTGTCCAGTATGTGTGGCCAGCCTGGCGCTGATTCTGTACGTGGCAAACGCCTACGTGGGCAAGATGTTCCAGACGCTGGTGAAAGCAGATGAAGCCAACGTGAAGTTGAAGGATCCAAAAATTACCCTACAGGTGGGGTTCTTCCTCCTGATACCGTACATCGGTGTCAACTTGCTGGCCATCCTCGTGGTCTATCTGTACGTCCACGCTGCATACACACGCCGCAAAGAGCAGGAGAAACCAACAGAGGATGCACCCAAAGAGATCATGATGTACTAAAGCGAAACCACAGCCAAGATCTGTTGAACAGGCCATGATTTTCAGACTGGAGCTGAATTGAGTCTATTAGTTTGAACCTGCCACATTAACTGTGAAGTGAATTGCAAAACTGAACTTACCTGAATTAATTATAATTCAAAATTGTATTAGTCATAGGCTATACATACAAACTAAGGCCCAAAAAGTATTTAAACTCACTTTAAAAAAAGTTATTGCATTAGAAAACAGTGTCTCAGATGATTTTTGTGTTTGTGTTTTGTTAGCTTGTGCTGTTTCTTTAAAAAGAACGCCATTTGTTTTGATATTTTATCTAATGCATGTTTTAAGTATGACTTAAGTGTTTAAAATATTTTTATGGTCCACTAAAAATATTTGATTGCACTTATGTTTAACAATACCATCAAAATATTGTAAAACGTTTTAGAAATGTCATTTATTTGTCTAGCTTTTCTAAGAACCTAAAAACCATGTGCATGACGTGTAACTGGATAAGAAAACAGTTCAAATTTACTTCTATAAGTTCCTCTGGACTTTTAGCCAATTTAAAATTATTATTTTTTTTGCATATTTTATTGCAGAGGTGTGAAAATATTTAGTTCTTATACTATTTATCTGCTTATGCATCAAATATTATTATGAGAAAAATTGTCTCATTGGCTGTTTTTATAATAAACTGTCTGCTGTTTCATTCATTCCTCAAATATTCTGTAAATATTACTGTAATAATTTAGTACAATAACAACCCTTTTTAGAGTGATGAGGATTTTGTGTTCAGTTTTTTAATAGTTTAAGAGAAAAAATATTATTGCTCAATGCTCACTCACTGATTCATTATATCTCTTAAAACCTGACTAATAAAATACAATGGCTCATTAAATTACACTGACGGATTATGATATATGAGATTATAACCTATTATAGGACTGCCAGGTCATGAGTCACTGTATGACGTCATTTTCCACAATCACTGCATTAGATGAACTTTGGCCCTTGGACTTTGTGAATATTGTGTATGTATTCATTGATAGGACATGCAGGGTGTGATTTGGGCTTCTTCCAGCAGGGGGCAGCAGGAGTGTGTTTATCTGGCTCTCTACTGCCACCCTGCATGGAGGAAACTCATGATTTCAGAAAAAGCTGAAGTCTTTCTTCATTTTGAAAGACTGCATTGTCAATGTACTCAAGTAGCTGTCTGGTGACACAATATTCACTATCCATGATCTCAGAGTATTCTCAAAGTGTAGGAGTCACAGTGAGGAACAAGGTTACTTTCAACCTTCACATCCAGCAGTGGAAACCATTGTCAATGGGTAATCAATGGGTTATTACATAGTTTAATGAAACTAAAACTAAAACCATAAAATAATAATAATAATAATTGAAATAAACGTTAACTAAAATAAAATATAAGTAAAAATTATTATTTCAATTGTATTTTCACTTTTTTTTTTTATATTTTCATTTTCATTTCATTTTCTCATATATAGCATTAAAATATTTGTATGGGCCACTGCATATATGTGACCCTGGAGCACAAAAGCAGTCTTAAGTCGCTGGGGTATATTTGTAGCAATAGCCAACAATACATTGTAGGGGTCAAAATTATAGATTTTTCTTTTATGCCAAAAATCATTAGGATATTAAGTAAAGATCATGTTCCATGAAGATATTTTGTAAATTTCCTACCGTAAATATATCAAAACTTAATTTATGATTAGTAATATGCATTGCTAAGAACTTCATTTGGACAACTTTAAAAGTTTTTTGCACCCTCAGATTCCAGATTTTCAAATAGTTGTATCTCAACCAAATATTGCCCTATCATAACAAACCATACATCAGTGGAAGATTATATATTCAGCTTTGAGATGGTGTATAAATCTCAATTTTGAAAAATTGACACTTAAGACTGGTTTTATGGTCCAGGGTCACATATTGTTGTGCACATTTTAGAGCTATACCATCAAAGCATTGAAGTACTAAAATAACTCAAACTAAATAAACTAAAATAAATAAAAATTCATAAAAAATATTTAGACATTTAATAAATAAACAACAATAACAATAATAATAATAATGACAAAAACTCAACTAAATCACAAAAATGTTAACCAAAATTAAACTGAAAACAAAAACTATAAATATAAATAATTTAATAATATAAAAATAAAATCTAACAAAATAATATAAAAGTATATAAATGATACTAAAATAACTCTGATCTAATGCAATATCCAAAAATAGATTTCTATTCCTAAGAGATTTTAACTACTAACCAGACATTTTTCACTTAAAGGGTTAGTTCACCCAAAAACGAAAATTAGACTGCGTTTTATTCACCCCCGAGGCATCCTAGGTGTATATGAATTTCTTCTTTCAGACGAATCCAGCAAAGAAAACGTTTTGTTATTCCATTGAAATGTGGTATAATTGCACAACAAATAATCAATTCTGCTAAATTAAGGAATGTAAACATATGCAGTAATAAAACCATACATACATGTACAGCTATTGTTAGTCTGATATGAAGTGCATTTCAGGGAATTCTGCCTAAACTCTCCTCCTCCAAATCATCAGAAATTTGAGCTGACGCCACAGTCTAACTCAACCTCGCTCTGAACTCAACCTGATTCAACATGTACTCACCTGGTCCACGTTAGACCTTTTGACATAAACGGTCTGAACTACAGCTTTAAATACGAAGCTCTCAAAACACCAGCTCTATTCATAACCCTGAAACTCCTGAGAGACTCCAAGACCATTTTAATGTCTCAAAAACATATTTAACATTGTTGTATCAAGGTTATACTAAATAACTTATCCTAACATATAACATATTTAGATATAGACTGTGATGAAATCCAATAAATTAATATGCACTGTACTTTTCCTGCACTGTAAAAAAAAAATTTTAACCTGCAAATGTTGCCTAAAAGAGCCTTTTTACCTGATTTAACCCAGAAAAATTAAATTTGTTGGGAATAATTTAATGTATTTAGGTAGATTCAGTAATGTTAAATATTATTTTTGACTTGAATAAAACTTTGATTTAGATGTTACCATTTGTAGGTTACTATTTTTCTCAGTGGTCAAATCCTCAAAACAGAAATGTCTTTATAACACATTTCTGATGTTTGCATGCCTATTTTGAGGTGAGGTTTAACAAAGGGTTAAAGCTTCAGTAATGTCCATCAGGGTTGTCCATCAACTTTCATAATGCTTTTTAAAAGTTATATAAATGTTAGGACAAAATGTTCTTAAAATAATGTTTATGAAATGTTTTGATAACTCATTAATATTTGATATACGTTCTCATCAGGGCAGGACTTACGGGGCCGGGGGCCTCTGGGCTTGAGGTTATGTTTGGGCCCCATACCTATACTACAAATGCCCTCAACTAGAACATTATTATGGAGTAACACAAAATACACAAAAATTTAAATATGCTTTCAGGTTCATATACTGTATACAATTAATAGGCAACATGTCTAGCCTAGTCAAAGTTTAGATGTAATATTAAATAGTCACTATAATACAATAAACAGGATGTGATCTCTCAGTTGAGAGATCAAAACCCTGAAATAACACTGAGCAGATAAAACCAAAGAGATGTATTATTATGAAATGAAAATGTATTGTCATATCTGTGTATTTTTATGTCAGATTCTTAAATTTTATAAATTCAATCTGAATAAAAAAACATGTTGGCTATTAACAATAAAATGAAATCACTATAAACAAAATCCATAGATGGATTTTGCACAAGTTATGTTAAGTTTAAATACAACATTTTAATGTAGAAATATTAAATGATTGCAAAAAATGAAATAAGCTACTTTTTAAAATATGAAACTACAACCGCCAGTAGGTGGCAGCAAGTGACTGTTTTAATGAGTGAGTTTAATCCATAAATCAACCAATTTGTTTAAAATGCTAATTCATTTAATTTAGCAAACGACTGTTTGAACCATTTACTGGTCCGTGTAATTCTGAGAAACAAAACACTGTGCTCGGAGACGCATTGATGGGGCAAAACAGAATTTTGTGTCTGTGTTTATTGTACATTTGCCATCGTGCAGATATTCGGAAAAACAGGACTCTAGTTTGTGTGATAGGCTAACTCCTATATCGTAGGCATTCACTCATTAAATGCAGGGTTCGTTCAACCAATACATTTGAACTTCTCATACAACATTCTCAGAACGTCTATAGGATGTAATTTGTACTTGATGAACATTCTAAGAAACATTTTTGTAACCTTTAAATACCATTCTCAACATGACATGAAAAACGTTATATTTTACGTTACATTTTGGGTGAAAATAAAGTTAGAATAATAAAAAATAATGTTCTTATCACAGCAAGAAAACTGGACATTTTAGAATCATTTCAAAACAATATTCCCACAACTTTTTTATAACCTAAATTTATTACCTGGAATATTAAAAAACTGAAGGGAAAATAAAAGGTTTTGAAATTACTATTATTCTATGCATATATAAATGCTATTGTGTCAGTAAATTTGAGTAAATTAGAAGCTCAGTTCTGGTCTGATATTTGGCTTTTCAATAAGTAAATTGAATGAAATAGAATGCAAATGATATCGATCACAATGGGGTGTCAGTTTACCCTCTTTGTGGGGATTATGTGGACGCTCACGCGTGACGTTTCTCAAATGGACTTCAATGGGAATCTCTCAGAGGCGTTTGGTATGCAAACACACAGTGAATTACATCAGGAATGGAGGATAATCTCTTCTCCTCTTTTTCCAGACCTTTCTCTGGCTCTCTCTGAGTCTCTGATAGCGGACAGACTCCTGAGTTCGGGTCACTCGGAGGGTGTGAATGGATTAAGGAAAGACCCTCTGTAGTGCTGAAACACAATTCCCCCCTAAACCTGTATCAGAGAGGTGACACACACACACACACACACACACACACACACACACCCCTGTTCCTGCAGGGCATATACACACAAACACACACACATACTCAAACCCCTAACCCAAACCAACTACATAAAACTATAGAACACCTCAAACTCACACATAAAGTGGCCCCAAGAGTATTTCAACACTCAACATGTCTAAATATTATTGCAATAATTTAAAAAATATCAAATTTAAGTGCACTCGAATGCTGAAGGATCTTTGCTCTGCACTAGCTTAATTTTTTC